CTTTCGTTCGATTCGGGTTCTCTGAAAACACATGATAGTTTTGCATTTCAAAGAGACCGACTGGAACCTATAGAGCGATTCCGTCGTTTCTCAAATGCAATAGCCCTTAAAGATAAAAAAAATTATTCGGCGGTCTAGCAAGTGCCCAGCGGAATGACTCTCCCTACTCAAAGCTATCCTTTTAATTCCCGCTGGTTTCGCTAGGGTGCGCTTTCCACGATTTTTCGGAAAGGACCACATGTAGTCCACACCCCAGCGATGGAGTAGGCGTGGTGGTGTACTTTACTTGATTATCGCGTAGGATGCGTTGTTTGGGGGATATTTCCACGCATTCTGATGCAAGTGTTGTCCTATCAGTATTTGACAAAGTCATGGTTACAAATGTTCTGAAACTGCTATATCCCTCTAAAAGTGCGGCTGCCGCTACGTTCAAGTACGCAGCCACGGCCTCCCCATCTCCGGGATATGGAGTACCATAGCAACTTTTTAACAGGCTCTTGTTAGGGCTGCTTTCAAACTTCAAATGACCCCACAATAACTCTGCAGAAAAGGATAACAGCTACAAGGAGCTGCTCGGCTTTGAAGGGGACTTTGCACAGTGGCTATTTCCTTTACTTTGTTCATGTTAGCTAACAAGTTTCGCTTTGGTCATACATGCAGTCTCTTGTAAAGCTGCGAACTTTTTCCAGATGAGCCACTTTGGTCACAAGAACTCACAGGCCATTACAATGTGACCTGTACAAGCTTAACTGAGTCCCACCCATTCGTTGCCCCCACCAAACCATACTGCACCTCAGTTGGCCACTTGTCAACCAGACGTGCTGTCGCTGCGAGGGTCCAGGGTATTTTCTCGAGGCATCTACCAGTCCAGTAGTTGAAGGGAGAAGGTAAAGGAGGAGGGATCAGAGAAGGGAGGAAGGAAAAGAAGGAAGGAGGAAGAAAAAAGGAAAGAGAAGAGAGGCTTCCCGGTTGACAAGTGCCCTGAGACGTGTCTGGCTTTAGGAGGGGAGTTCCACGGACTTGGTTGTGAGTGCGACCGCCAAGGACAATTACATGTTCGGGTAGGAAGTGTGAGGGGTGTATCAACATGTCCCGCGCCGTACACCTTCTCTAATGCAGAGCGTCCACGACTTCGTCGAGTGCCTAGTGTCTACGACTTTGGCTGAGCGACAAGTGACCCCGCGTTCACAGCCACTCCCAGTCCGAGGCCGAGATGCCGACTGCTTATGCGCACAAAACTTAGCAGACTCCGGGGTCAGGCAAGCAGACCTAGGTGTGGTAATATCTCAGTCCTCCTGCAGTATCGAATCACAACGAGTATTAAATATTGGCGAAAATGAGAGAACCTGAAGAAGTTCATAGTAAGTCCACCTCCATTCTCGTAAAGGCACCTAGGTGAGCCTAGCAGATGCTTGTATCACCCATACGTCCGTACAAGGATGTTGACTCGCTTTCTCCCGAAATCCTTATTTATTTAGGAAAAAGTCGGATCGCCCAGCTTCGCCGACGATCCTCTTTCCGCGGTGAAGTGGGTATTG